AATTGTACTTGGAAAATTGGTAGAATGAACAAATACAAGTCAATTCAGGGAGAATAAGCAAAGTTCACAACTACAAATTCAAACAGTGAAAGTGAATCCAACCTTAAATCATTAAAATATAATGTTGTATTAAAGAAATTGAGGTGATGCCAGTGTACTTTTAGAGCACAGATATATTCTGTTAAGTTGGCTGGTAGTTGACTTACAAATTATCTGTATAGATAAATAGAAATTCCTAATCATTCCAATTATGAAACGGAGGTTATACTCCTAAAAATAATTAGGGCAATACTTAATATCACATTTGAGGAAACAGCAAATTACCAAGGCAACTATTTAAAGAAAAACTAGCTTTCATGAATATTATTGCTGAAAATATATCATCATATACCCATAAATTTAATCATTTTAATACTAACAGTATTTCAACATAAGAAATTTAAATCTTCTCTAAAATGTCTCTCCAGCATCTCAATATTCTACCATTAACCTCTTGATTAGGTCATACTGTTTCTTTACATTTCACCACAGCTAGGTACTTTTTTGTTTGTTTGCTTTGTCTAGGACATTTAGGGCAAGGAATGGATAAATACACAGGGCAGAGCAAAATGGTATATAAAAAATTACTTAGAAGGAAGTAAGCAAGTGGAAGAACCCATTTAGTTTACAGGCAAGAATATCTGCAAGAAAGGAATATTCCATAGGAAAGAGTACCCTACAATATGAGTATTCCTGTTATTCAATAATAATAAATTTTCACATGACCAATGCTGGGCTAAAAAAAACCAAACAAACAAACAAAAAAACTAATGGCATTTTTAGATAACCCTTCTAACTACACTTAGTTAAGATGTTAAAAAAAATGTTACAGGGGCCACTTTGAAGTTCTGAAAATCAAATGAAGAAGCTAAAAGTCTAGAAAAACTCCATAAGAAAGCAATGAAAATGACCTAAGCCTCATGAAAAAAAAATGTTCTAAGAAAGTAAATTATTTAATAAAGACTATAGAATTGATAGGACTTTAAGTATACTAAGAGATATACAGTTGGACTTAAGAAAAATGTTTATTTCACCTAAGAAAGGAACAAAACTAAAGGACAACATAAAAATTTGAATCAGGCATTAGATTATTTGCAGACCATGAGCACTGGAATATGTCTTTTTAAAGTTTCAAGCACAGGCATTACAGAAGCTTTAAGAATATAGAGAACTCTTTCTGGGTTGAATTTACTTATGAGAGCTCTATGAATTAAGGGCTAAAGTTGCTTTTGAAATCAGTGCTAAAATTAAGATCTCATTGGGACTATTTTAAGACAGGCTTTCTTTTATCAAAAAATAGTATGAATTTGGGCACTGGTTAGAACATTTTGGGTCCATTCATTTATCAATAACACCATTACTATTGATCACAAAGTTCAAGAAAAAAATTGCCTGAACATGCCACAAATTAATATTCAGCAACTGTAATAAAATTGATACTATTTCTGAATTCAATCAACAATTTTGTCTATTAACAGTCATGTTGAGAAAACTTCTTAGTGATCTGTGTGCTCAATCTCATTCTCTTCTTTCAAGTCAATGGCCTCTTTCCGATTTAATTCAGAGAGGCAGAAAATACATGAGGACGTCCATCATTTAGTTTCCTATCAGTATTATAACTAATAGCTGATTTAACATGACACAAAACAAACAGGGGTGATGAGGCAGAGCCAGATCCAAAAAAGTCACAAATAAAATCCCTTTTATGTAATTAAGTTTTGTATCCTTCACATATTCTGTTGAAATTAAAATGGTAAATAATGTCTGGCTACAATCACTATACTGTTACATGCTCTATGAATCTCAATCAAATCATGCAGTTATTTTCACATATTTAAATATACTTTTCATAAAGTATAATTCCAATAGCTATACAAAGAGACTTCTATTTTTGAAATCTTGCTGGTACAAAGGAAATATAACTTCTCCTTACAGATTATCTGTACATATAATGTTCACCTTTTTTCTACTTTTATGGTGTACAACATACAACTATTTCCTATTTTAGGTTTCTAGAAAAGTACAAAAGTTTAATCTTATTTCTGTAAACAAAACCACTGCAATACAAGCAGTGCTAAGAAATGAAACTCCAAGTAGTTTATTCAGGCACAACCATTTCATAAATCTCTTCATATCATAATGTAATTAAAGGCCTCTTTCCACCCCGAGTGGAAAACAATATCCCAAAATATGACTCAGGCAATTCTGAACATTGCAAATAGTTCAGAATTAACATTTGTCTATGATTCCTTTCATTGCTGTATTTATTCTAATATACACTGAAGTATAATGGTAACATTTTAACAACCTGAGTGTATTCACTGTACTTATATTTAAATTGAATTAAAAATTATTCCCTTAAAAATCCTCACATTCTTTTTTGTACTTAAAAATGAACTTTTAGATGATCTTTTTAAATTGAGTTTCCTCTCTCATCTAAGGGATGTATCATCAGGTTTCTAGTCTCCTCTTTCAAAGTTAGTATATAACCACAATTAAACATTTATTTCACTTAATTTTAGATAACAATGAAATAGTGTCATAAGGAGGTATTTGACTGGACTGACGACTGAATATGAGTCTAGTTAGGCAATAAAATTAAAAGGAAAGAAAGAAGGAAACAAGCAGGCAAGAGAAAAGGGGACTTTAGATAGCTCTAAAGCTGATAAGAAATTGTATGGCCCCAATGATAACAGGGTACATAATTTAATTTTACACCGACTCTTTTAATATAGATACAAATAAATCAAAATTGTAAATTAATTGTGTTTAACAACATTAAACAAACACTACATTTAAAAATTTCAGTACACTGGGAATATACTGATCCATAACTCAGAGTGACAGAAAAGATAAACAGGCCCCCTGACAACATAAAACATTTCCCAAGGTATCCCACAATGCAGACTTGAAGATGAAAACAACTGAAAGCTCATCTTTACTTCAGTTTTGACTCTAACACAGACTTGCTATTAAGCACAATCCTCTTGCCTCCGCTGCTGCCTAAACAAAGTGTTTGAGTTAGGAGAGCCTGAAACGATGTGCCTGTAAGGCAAACTTTTGCTTTCTAAAAAGTAAATCTCTCCCAATACTTCCAGTTGGAAAACGTCCACTTTAGCTACCTGACACCAGGACGTCACCTTCTCCCCTGGGCTTACCTGCTGCTACTTAAGTATTCTTCCAAGTAGACTCTGGACAAGTTGGGAGGTAGCTCTTTAAGCAGTCCTGAGCCACGGCTGACTACAAATACACACACCTGACACATTCCCACAGGTCCTTCGTACCCTTTCCTCCTCCACCCTCCTCTGAGAACTCACCTAGGCCATTTAGCGCACCTCCCAGGGCCAAAGCCTGCCCACCTGGGAGTGAAGAGTACTCCAGTAGTAGTTCTGAAGATCAAGAAACTTACTGGATTTTAACATGCGGTAGGAAAAAAACTGTGTGTATGTGTGTCGGGGGGAAGGGGGAAGATGGGGGAGCAGGAGCCTTACAGATAGCAGTTGTCTATTAAATGGTTTAAATCTGTTGGTTAAAAAGCTCAATAAACAAATACACAGATGGGTCTAGGTCTTTGGGGATTAGGGATTCTGCAGAGCCTCCCAAGTGGTAACCAGGTCGACCTCTCTTGATTCATCCCTATGGAAAACGTGCACCGGCTCAGCTTTCCAATCCAATCCCCAGACTTGCATCCGTCCTTCCCATCACGTTCCTTCAAACCAAAGCGTCACCCCACGCGCCAGGTGACTTAGAGACTTACCTAAGAGATTCCAGAATCTGAGACTAGTGTGGGTAACTTTTGCTCCCTGGTCTAGAGAGGCCCCAACACCCACTGCGAATGAGGGTCCAACTGAGGTCGGGTGTCAAGGCGCTTTGCGGCCTTGCGGGTGGGCAGACGCGAGCGGAAAACGCGCAGGCGGCGCGCGCGGCCACCCAGTGGGTCCCGCCCGCGCCGCCGCCGCACGTGCGCCGCCTCGAGCGCGAAGGGCGTTGGGACCCGCGCTCAGCCCGCCCGCTCGCCGGGGCCACTATGAACCCCGGTAAAAGCGAAGAGAGAACCCCTCCCTATCTCCGAAAGGTGCCTGCGCCCCTCCCACGTCTCCTCCCCGAAGTGTCGCGAGGTGCGATTTCACCCCAAACCCACCCACAAACAGCGAGACGACCTCTCCAAAGCGGAATAAAAGTAAAACCAGGCCAGACCCCGGGGGAAGCGGGTCGTGCTAACGCGTGGACAGGGGAAGGAGCGCGATTGGGGGGCAGCAAGTATCCCCGTGCACAGTTCTCCCGAAGCGCCCGAAGGGCGCAGGAGTTTCTTGACTCCAGAAACAGGAGTGTCCCCTTTCCTCCTCTCTCCTTCTCGGAGAAGTACTTCTGAGATGAACGCTGAAGTGCCCAACTTAGACGCGAGAAGCGTGCACTTGCCCAACTGAGTAAATAAAGGTCAGCAGTTGGATCAAGAAAGAGTGTGCTTCTAACTGCCAGAGGTTTTTACTGTTGTTTCTCTTCCCGAGGTTGGGGGGTGGGGGGAGGAAGAAGAAAAGACAACAAACAATTAAAAAGAAGAGAGTAAACAAACACACATTTGGTGTTTTGACACACATTCTCCTCCAGCCGCACGGTCTCTTCGGACGTAGCAACATTTTGCATATTCCAAACTAAAAATCATCCGTGAGCCAACAGCACATCTCCCCTCACCACCCTCTATTCCCCCATCACAAAGCAAAATGAAAAAGAACAACAAGTGGTGATGCTGAGTCCTGAACGCGACCCCAACGCCGAGCCCAAATTTGACACATGTCACACTCGCCCGGCAAGCAGGGCGCTGCGGTTGGGGAGAAACTTTGTCGCCACCGCGGGAGGAGCGCGGAGCGGAGTAAAGTCGCAGCCCGGCCCGGCGTGGAGGTGGCTGGGACAGGGTGGGGTGCTGAGGTGCAGAGCGCCAGAGTGAGGGCCAAGAAACTTACCGCGACCGGAGACGCCGTGGGCAGCGTCCCGGGAGGTGGGACCCGCGGCGCCGAGGCAGAAGCCCCCAAACAACACACCCACGCGCGAGTCCGGGCAGCTGCTACCTCGAGTGGGGGGCGCGCCCGGGGAGGGGGGGGCAGAGGAAGCCGCAGCCGGCGGACGCGGCCGCCGCATAAATAAACGGGGCGGGCGCTAGCGAGAGGGCTGCGGGTGGCGCGGGGCTAGAGCCGGGGCGAAGCGGCGGCCGCGGAGCTGCACGCGCCGGCGTGTCTCGCGCTTTCTCGGAGGCTCGCGCTGTCTCGCGCAGCCGCTCCCCCCACAGGGATCTGTGTGTGTGTATGTGTGTGTGTGTGTCTGAGTGTGCGCTGGCAGGCGCGCGCACCCGGCCGCGCGCGCGTGTTGTTGGCAATGCAAACTGTACACACACGGCGCGCGGGGCTGCCTCTCCTCCGAGGGGCGGGGTGGGGGACAGGACGCCGCAGAGGATTCTGAAGTACTGCCAGACCACTTGTTTGTTTTGTTTTACTTTGCGTTGTTATTGTCGTTGTTGCTGTTGATCCAAAAAGTGGTTTGGTACCAGCTGGTTAGGATGCCTTTCTCCCCCGTCCACCTATTTACCTCTCCCCTCCCCCACGCCCCTTCCCTAACTTCTTTAAGCGCGGGGAAACGCAGGGCAGAATATTGTTCGGATTTTCAGCGGAGCCTCCTGGCTGACGTCAGGTCCACCTGCTATGTAAACAACCCGCTGGAGAACTTGTTTGTGCGGCACCAGAGCTTCCCCCACCCCCACACTTCTCCCCACCTCCTGCTCCGCCTTCTCCCGCTCGCCCCAGACGGCGAGTCAGGGAAGGGGGTGGGGAGGGAGGCGAGAACAAAACCGTATGCTGTATTGGCAAAGCCGAGTTGTGTCTGCTGCTTCTTGGCAGTCCCCAAAGTACGTCCTCTCAGCAGACGGAGCTGCTGGCAAATGAAACAGGGGATTCCACTTGAAGTGCAGAAAGCCTCGAAGGGATCCAAAGCCCTCGGTGGCAGGGAGTTAAAAGTATGTGGTAGTCGGAAAGAGAGAACCGAGCGTACGTTAAAGCGCTGATTGGCCTTTCTTTTCACGGTGTGCGCCTCTGCGGCCTGGGGTGGATAGAGGCCGAGTGTCTTTCTCTTCGTTGTTGCCCTGGTTCCTGTCTCAGTTGGGCCAAGGAGTTCTCGGGCTTCCTCGTGGTCGCGCAGCCCAGGTCACCGGGGCGCGGCTTGGAAGGAAGGGGCCGCCGAGCTGGGACTTTCAGGGTCCGAGGCTTTCGGGAAGGGCCCTATCAGTGACTGAGGGGAGCAAAAGTAACCGGAAAGAAAGGAAAGAAGAAACTGCCAGAGCCTGCCCTGCGCGCACTTCAAAGCCGAGGCGCCCGCGTGGGGGATACGTGGGACCGGCCTCCAGCCCTGGGTCCCGGCTCCTATCAGCGGGGAGTGACCCGGCTGGGCTGCCCGCGCAGTACCCAGGGGGGTGACAGGGAAAAGGCCGAGGGAGGACAGGGCGGCCCCGGAGGGGACGCGCGACAGGAAAGGTGGCGAGGGGCTTCCTCCGGAGCCCCAGCCCAGCCAGGGGCCGGCGCTCTCTCCCCACGGTTCTCCCGCCGGTCCTCCCCTGCCAGCGGGCCGCCGTCTCCGCGCGCCGCTGCCTGAGCCCGCTGCTCAGCTCACAAGTCAGTCGCAAAGCGTGGCGTTCCGAGAGGCGCTGAAACTTTCCTCCAAATAGCTGCGGCCAAGAGGCCGTGGTGAACGGAGCCTGGCCACCGGCTGTTTCCCGGCCCTCTTCCTCCCTGGGGAAAGAACGGCTAACTTGAACCCCTCCGGTGGCAGAAGAGGGAGTACTGGTTGGGGAGACTGGCGAACAGCATTAACTTGTGTTTTTGAATCTTTCCTTTCCTCAAAGAGCAGCGCGCCCTTTCTCTAAAGGGCAGACGCGAGCTCACACACACACTTGGCACCAACCCTTTCCTTCAGAACCCGCGGTTCTCCCAGGGAGGAAGCAGCCCTGGCACCCACGTCGGTAAACACTCCGTCAGGGTTTTTTTAGTGAAACCAATTAAGTCAATATGCCACGGGGCTGGCCCTGTGAGGACGGCCCCTGCCAGGAGGAAGAGGAACGAGGTAGAGTTGGGCTTTGAATTGCGGTTCTTTCCTGAGCTTTTCAACTCCGGTAGTCCTCAAGTGCTGTGCCTGCAGACTGTGTTCTCACTGTTTTTTTAAACCGTCTTTTTTGAAATGCAGGCTGAACAGCGGACAAATAATCCGAATCTTTTAAAAGTGGGAGCAGAGAGAGAACTAGCAGTAATTAAATTTAGAAAACAGCCCCAAATGGCCCTACCTCGCCCTTTTGAAAAGGTGGGGATAATTTTATGTTAAGTAATCTGCATTTATGCTTCACTAGGAAACCTCAATAAAAACGGATTCTGAATTAACTTGAAACTATTTTGGAAGAGAGAAGAGTAAAGGACGTGGAAATCATTGGAAAGCTGAGGATGTACCTTTCCAGAGGGGTTGTCATTGAAGGGAACAGAACAGTCAAAAGGTGGACAGCTTCTCACTTCTTTTCCTTCTTCTTCCCCCTCGTACATGGACCCCACTGACTTCCCTTTCTCTCCAGGTGAACCGAGTAAGTGAGCGGGAAAGGTTTATTGTAAAAGAGCCTGGGCCACTTGGAAGATCAAGTTCCCAGCGAGGAGAAAGAGTAACCGGTTAGGGTCTCAAGACTTGGAGAGAAACGAGTTTAGTTAACCTTTCACTTTTCTGTACACAAAGACACCTTTTGGTGAAATTCGCAGCCACTAACGTTTCTGTCTGGCAAGTACAGATAGCCAAGAGGTGCGAAAGGACATCTCAGTCGGAGGAGCATCTATTTATGAATGAGTACCCTTCCGCGGCCTCTTTCTCCATGAGACTGAGCCTGCAGCTCCTTAGTGCCCCGCTCAACTTCGCCCCCATTATCTCCTCCTCGCTGGCTTCCCTGCCCCGGGCCTCCAACTCATCCCGCAGGGAGGCTGTTCAAGGAGTTGGGAAAACAGATCCTACTAGGAGCCGCTGCCCTTGGTGGACCCCCCGGCTGCAGCCAATGGGCTGGGCCCGGGTTCGAGAGGTGAAAGTTCAGGCTCGGGGCTCGCAGCTCGCCTCGCCTCTCTGGCCGCCTCCCTTTCAGCCCCCGCCGCTGGCTACACTGCAGACAGGGCCCAGCTACCAGGGGCCGCCACGGTGGCATGTAGTTTGTTGATGGGTGGTCATAAAATATATTTATTTGCAATTCCTTGAACTCGTCCACCACTCCCCCCCCAGCACGGCCCGAACACTGCAGGCTTTGTTCGCCTCAGCTGCTGCTGGAGCCGGCCGGGTTTAGCTCTCTGTGCTAGCAGACTCCAAAAAAAGTTGAAGTGGAATAGTAGGAAAACCGGGTTTCCGCAGCAGAGGAAAACGCTGAAAGAGCAAACAGCGATCGAATAGTTTTGTTTTGCACAAGTCACTGGTCAGCCCATTGGATCAAGGCAGCCTTGAAACGAAACGCTGCATCTCGGAAAGAGTAGGAAAGCCAAATTCTGTCCCTGTAGTCGCTGTGCAGGGTCACAGCCTTTGGTTCAGGTCTCCTTTGCAACACGTGGATCTGCAAAAGTCATTTAAAGAGGTCCCAGAAGAAAGTTCAGCAGGACCACTGGGTGAATGAGGATGTTTCACCAAGTGGACCTCAAAGCTCCTTCACGAAAGTTTATTTGATTTCAAGTTTATTTTACGACGAAACCACAAATCAACAAAATCTGAGACACTACTCTAGTACGGTCCTAGAAAAAGATAAATTCGTTTTAAATGGTCTGTCAGCACATCCTGTGCGAAATAAAACACTGCAAATGAGACTAAGTGAAACCAAGATGAAGGAAAGCGATGTACGCGAATGACAAGTTAGAAATGTTAGTTTAGTGCTTCTCCGAGTGAAACCTCTTTGACTTTAAGTTATTTTTTTATAAAAATATAATTTTTCACACACTTAAGTCTGTTTTTTCCAAAACTTTCAGTCAAACAGCAACTCATTTTCTCTTTCAGAGCCGTTTTATCTGTATAATTGTGAATTGTGCTTAAATTTCAACTGACTTGGAAAAACCGCTGAGAGAGAGGTAAGGGGGTGTTTTTAAATTATTATTTTTTTCCTGTTAGAAATGCTATCTTCAAAATTGTGCTACTCACTTCAAATAGCCTGTAACAAAAGTCTTAAATGCAAGGTAAAGTATTTTTTCTTTCACACAGAAAAACAGGCACATATCAGATTCCTATGTTTTCACATCCACTACAGTTTTCTGAAGATAAGCAAATAAGCAGACTCCTTTTAGAAGAGTTTTCCCCATTCTCCTCCCTGACACATTTAGGTAAAAGAGAAAATTCTAATTTCACCGAAGTCAAATCAAGGGTAATCTATGTTAACATCAAACTGAACGGAGATATTGCAAAATTGGTGGAGTTACACCACCATCTGTCGTTAAGCTTAGGGACTACAAAATTTGGTACCTAAAATAAATCTTAATGAGCTTTCCCAACTTTTTTTAAAAAGTTACAATATTTTTCATTTGTGTTTTTGTAACATATACCCTGAATTTACCTGGATCCTGAAGCGATAAATATTTGTTCATAAACCCTCTCTTCTATGTGGGTTCTCTTATCTTCAGAAAATTAAAAAAGTACTGCACGGCTGGCAGCCTTCACAAAAAGCCCTTTGGCATCAGCTGTGGTCCTGCAGATTTCCTCTGGCCTGCTCCTGACTTCTAGTAGGCTACTGGCAAGGACTGTGGAGACTCAAAAACAGGGGCTACCCATGTTCTCCAGTGGGTAACACACTCTTAGTTCTCTCTCAAATGTTGCCTAGTTCATTGCTAGTACTGTATATCTAATCTTGAAAAATGTAACCACAGCATATCACTGCTAAGAGGTTGGCTCTAGGTGTCCTAAAATTTTGATTGAAAGGCACTTAATGCTAGATTCCAGTTTTAGCTGATCTTGCTGGAAAGACAAAGATCAATTGCTCTGGGATGGAATCTTGCAGGCTAAGTAGGTCCTATACCCAGGAAAGCTTTATCCATATGAATATAGAAAGGGGATAACTATTGAATAAAGAATTCCAATACTGAATCAAAAGCCTCCATCAAGCAGTGAAGACTCCATTTTTTTTCTCACAACCCTCCAATGACATAGTATTGATATTATACCTATATTTCTAAGGATCTTAAAATATTTTACTAGAATGTTGTACCCCT